ATTAATACTAGGAAAAAATTAATTCCATGTGAGAGGTCAGGTAGAGTTCATGATCTTTCTATTTGACATCTGTTGTGACTCCACGAATGAAACCTTCCATCCATCAGAGGCACATAGCAAGGGTTGCACTGCCCTCTGCTGGACAAACAGGAAATCACACATATGCTAATTTTGTTCTGTTCTATAGTCAATAGAAATTAAAAATATGTACTGTGAGCAACAATATTTAAGATCTTATGAGTGAAGATTTCTTTCCCATGTTTATATATTTCCAACAGAAACAGGATGCTGGGGCCAAACATATAAAGGGGGTTCATATTTTACATTATAAAAAAAGCCAACAGCCTATTTTTATAATCACAGTCACAGACTATGATTTGCAACTTCCTATAGCACAGCTAGTTGGTTTTAGGGATATGTTCAATCCAGAGTACACTTGCATATACATAGGCTCAAAGCTTTTAGACGTCGACTAAATGCCATAAAAATACAATTTTGTTTAAGAGTTTTAAGATGTGAAGAGCAATGGGGAATAAAATTCTCTCCCTCACATTTTTGTTTGTTCAGAAAATAAAGTCACTGATGTGGTACAACATGCTAACATTTTAACGTTCCCTGCTTCTGACACATAAGATAGGAAAGGTATTTTGAAGACATTACAGAGATAAGAGCTTAAAATAGAGGGAGAGAGGGAGAGAGAGAGAGAGAGAGAGAGAGAGAGAGAAATTCTTTTATTTCTAATTTTTATTTACAGTAGTTTGAGTTTTTCCATTTAGTATTTATATTTTATTTTATTTCAGTAAACAAAACTGTTTTAAATAGCTTTAGTTAACGAAAACAACACTATGCTAAACATCTTTTGTGGATCACAGAAAGAAGTAAGTCATATTGATTTGGTACAACATGAATGATGAATAAATAATGACAGAATTTTCATTTAAAAACTACTCTTTCTGTTTGCTTGATTCTTCCTTTTTAGAGCTGTTATTCAAATGCCATTATTTTTTTTGGCAAGAAACAATGTTTTCCAAGTATTCCGAGAACATTTTAATGATGCTGTCATCTCATCAGTTGGAGGGAATCTGAGAGCGTCAGGCCATTTGAACATCTCCTGTCTCTCTTCCTAATGAGCTCCTCGCTTTAATCTGACCCCACAGAGCACTCAAAAACACCAGAACATGCACTGAGAGCCGTGCTTTCCAGCCAGTCTCTATGGTTACCACAGATCAGGTTCTAGAACATCTTAAATCTCCATTAAAAGCAGCCGAGATGGATTGTTTCAATAAAATACAAATGTCCTACCCTTTGTCCATTCTCACCCGGCTCACCGGGCAAACCTGGAGGTCCAGGTGGGCCCTGAGGAAAAACAGCATAAACAATAGGCTAATTAAAAACAATGAAGTCCACAACAGTAGCAGACACAGAAAATATGATGCTTCTTATTTTCATAAACAGACCGTGAATGTGATATTTTATGATGTACAGTGACCCCAAAAAGTATCTGGAGTTTGAGTTTAACTTTATTGTCCATTCTGTTCTAAATGTGTCATGTAAATCTATAAATACATCCACATAAGTGCTTACACATTGCCACAAACACAGAATTGAACAGAATTACACTAACTACATCATTTCCAACCTATTAAAATAGTGCAATAATGCCAACCATTTTCTTAAATTGATTTACTTTAAAATTTGATGGGAGGAATGGATCAGGCAATCAGCTTTTTTTCAAAACTAACTTCACTTTTCTTCTTCAATGTGCATTTTTAAAACAAGCATTACATGACAAAATATGTCTTACAGGAGGTCCAGGTGGGCCGTCCGCTCCCAAGGGTCCTCGTTCACCAGGGATGCCCTGAAAACACAAACACACAGTTACGAGAATGCTCTACAAAGGCGAAGTTTAAGACTCATCTTCTCAACAGATTGCACACTTACAGTCTCCCCCTTGAGTCCTGCCAGCTGAACCTGTGGAAAAACACAGATGAGGCCGTGAGCAACTCAATACTGCTATTTTACAACACGATTCATTCAATTAATAAATCAAACGTCTTACCGCATCGCCAGGTAATCCAGCAGGACCTCGTTCACCCTATCGGCAAACACAGTGTTTATTAAACTGCATAAACACATTGCATTACACCAAATACACAAAATAATGTTCTTTTTAGCAACGTCATATGACCCCTTTTATTAAACAGCGGCTGACAAGATTTACTGAGTAGTTAAAATCCCACAGTGATTTGATATTCTGGGTGGAGTTGAACCAGAGTGGAATTGTCTGTGCTGTGAGTTACAACATCTGATAGAGTACTATTTGTCATTTCCTTTGGGAATGAGTTGCTGAAAGTGTGCGGGACAGAGAGCGAGATAAAATACAGACACAGACTGGTTTCATTTTTGAATGGGCGTCTTTGTGGATGAGCCTGAGAAATACAAATATGTGATACAAAACTATAATTTTCCAAGAAAGATATATGTGTTTTGAGGGTTTTGTGGGAAATATATCTGGGTGAACTATCAAGAAATACAAAAGGACTATGGGTTTGGAACAAACTGAGGGTGAATAAAAGATTTGCCCAGAATAAAAGACTTGCCCTTTCAAAGCCAAGCAACATGCGTCTCCAAAAAAGTGTCCCTATACCTTTTCTCCTTGTATTCCATTTGGACCAGGAGCACCAATCAGCCCCCTATGACCCTGGATTTAGAGAAAATGAAAGAGAGAGAAGTAATTTAGGTAAAACGTATACTTACTTGACCTAAGCAAAACGTTACATAAGCTCACATTAATATCTTCTACATCCAGTGTACATACATGCTGCGCAAAACGGTACATGACAAATTATATGCATTATAAAATGCTCTGAATACATACGTCTTTTCCTGGAAGACCTGGTTTCCCTGGAAACCCATCTAAACCTGGTTCACCCTATACAACATTTGAAAGTGAGACGTCATCAAATGGAAGATTTGCGTAATCAAAAGTGACAGTAGAGACATTTATAATATTACAAAAGATTTCCATCTTGAACTTTCTATTAATCAACAAATCCTGAAAAAAGTATCACAGTTTCCACAGAAATATTAAGAATATTAATAACAAGAAATGTTTCTTATGCAGCAATCAGCATATTAGAAGGATTTCTGAAGGATCATGCTACATGTAATGATGCTGAAAATGCAGCTTTGCATCACAGGAATAAATTATATTAAATACTTTATAATATTACTATATTTGTGATCAAATAACTACAGCCTTTCTTTTAAAAACATTAAACAAATCTTACTGAGACCAAACTTATAAAAAGTACTAAATATGCAGTATTTAATTATGTGCTGTATTCTGCTTCCAATTTTGCAATAATTTAATGAAATAAATGACTATTAGATCAACACATATGCCTTTATGAGCACAATTAATTATTTTCATTGCAATAGTATGTCACAATCTCCATTTCTATTCCCTAATTTCTAATTTTATGTCCCATAGACAGCATACAGGTTTGGAATGACCTTTAATTATGCACATTTGTCTAGACAGGTGTTCTGTTTTTAATACAGAAAACAGCAGGAGAAAAGTGACTGAGGGGATGGGAATGTGACTGTAACATGACAAAACATATGCAATATACACTATGCAGAGCCTGCTGTTTCAGGTCAGAAATTCAGGAAATATAACAGATGGTGAATGCGTCTGTATGATGTATTTATTTTGAATTCAAGGCCATTTGAGTTCAACTGAAAAACCATTCTCACAAAAGCATAATCTGATATTTCCTGTTCCAATGAACCGAGCACTGGTTCTAAAAATATATATCCATTTGCACTGAATTACCAGCATTCAAAAGTAATGCATCTTTGCCTAAACTAAGCTTATTTTCCATGTTAAAATATTTAACATAATAAAACAGCTGTAAATAGTTCTGAAATATTGTTTGTTTGAGCATCCCAACCAGCCAAATACAGCGATATTAACTCAACCAATGGCATGAGTTGGGGGCAGGACTATGTGTTTGCCAGCCAATGACAGACGGGGAGTGATGTATGAAAACCTGTACCAAAACACTCTTTTTGGTACACTCGTGGCACAAATTTGCTCCATCTTTAACTTCTAAGTTAGTTTCAGGAAAGTCAAATTTGGCTTAAAAGCTCTCAGTGTGCGTGCGGGGGCGGACCGTCAGACAGACTGAAGAATGACGGCAACGCTCTACCGTGTGAAGCTGTTCTTAGACCTGTCTGACTGCACAACGCCCCCACAGAACAGGATATATGGAGTCTGCATCAGCACTGTGACATCTGTTTGAGTTATTAGTCTGCCTGCATTCACTCTGTAGAAATATTCCCTCTGTAGCATTTGGATCTGCAGGTATGTACAGTACTTTGTGACAATGACTAGTTTGGCCTCCGTCCAAGTTATTCCAAAGCATTAAAACTAAAACGGGGTGCTGAAAAGGGGAAGACAAGCAGGAACATTGTCCCAGGCCTTTTAGTGGGTGGAAGGGGGTCTGCAATGACAGACTAAACTAGATTTTTACATTTTCTGACGACAAAGTGAGTGCTGTGCATGCAAAACCTCTGTGGCATGATTTTAGGAATCATTCACGTCTGTAGCACAAATGGTGCACACTTTAATACTTAATACTAATACTAAGCCTAAGTAATGATATTTGTGGTAACAGTTGTTATGATTGACAGGTGTCAGTCATCCCTTACCCTTTCTCCGGAAGCTCCTTTGTCTCCTTTACCTCCAGTAACACCCTGATGAAAAACACGACACACTCAATATCTTACAAATGTCACAGAGAAGAACACTGGATGCATAACGATCTGCCCTGAACAGTTGTAACACAAAATTGTGGATGCAAAGTCTTGATTTCAATTTGTTTCTGATGTTGTAATCATCTATTGAAGCCAGTTTCAACCTCAAAAATAAATAAGTAAAAACCAAACAAACAATAAAATACAAAATTCTATTAAAATTGAATAAAATAAAAAGGTTACTGTGAGGGGGGCATGATTTTAGGAATCATTCACGTCTGTAGCACAAATGGTGCGGGACATGCCAACCTTTAATACTTAATACTAATACTAAGCCTAAGTAATGATATTTGTGGTAACAGTTGTTATGATTGACAGGTGTCAGTCATCCCTTACCCTTTCTCCGGAAGCTCCTTTGTCTCCTTTACCTCCAGTAACACCCTGATGAAAAACACGACACACTCAATATCTTACAAATGTCACAGAGAAGAACACTGGATGCATAACGATCTGCCCTGAACAGTTGTAACACAAAATTGTGGATGCAAAGTCTTGATTTCAATTTGTTTCTGATGTTGTAATCATCTATTGAAGCCAGTTTCAACCTCAAAAATAAATAAGTAAAAACCAAACAAACAATAAAATACAAAATTCTATTAAAATTGAATAAAATAAAAAGGTTACTGTGAGGGGGAAAAAAATGTAAAATAAGAAATAAAGTCACAATGGGGAGATATAAAGATGCATTTAAGATAAATCATGTTGCAATTGTGAAATACAAAGTACCAGTTATTGATAAAGTCATAAGTAGATTTATATTGCAATACTCTTGAGGTGGAAACAGGCTTTCATAATCATCGGTACATGGTTTAAACGCAGAGATCATACTTACAGACACCCCTTGAAGACCCGGTGCTCCGGATGGACCAGCATCACCTTGGATACCCTAAATAAAAACAGGTCAAAAAAGCCAGATCATGTTAAAAACTACTAAGCACATCTAGCACAGTTCAGAAATTAGCATGTCACCAAAAAGTGATAAAAAAAGAGAAAATAATGGAAAGAAAATGCTTGTTTATTGCATTATTTACAGCTGCTTTTAAATGTAATGTTATTATTGATGTTACTATTTTAGCATTTATCATCATAAAATCATTTAATATTAAGATATATCACATCTTAAATCATTTTTAGGATGACAACAGCCTTTTTGGACTCAAAATGACAAAACAATTCCCCTGAAATTAATTATGGGGGGGCAAATATTGACAGTTAGAACATGAACATTTCTGACACTAGTCTAATCAAGCATATCTTTACTCCTCTGTCTAAAGGAGGTCTCACCTTTGGTCCGAGAGGTCCAGGTAACCCAGCATCACCTGCAACTCCTTGATCACCCTGTTCATCAACATGCCAATGTCAATATCAAAATCAAAATCAAAATATACCTTCAACCACATGCAAATATACTTTCTATCACTCACTCTCTCTCCTGTATCGCCTTTTTTCCCAGCCAGACCAGGTAAACCGTCCGATCCCTACAAAAATTAAATAAATATTAATGTCACTTATAAACACATCTATAGAATCAAGAATGTTTAGACAAAATTGGACTAAAAAAGGGGGTAAAATAACGTTTATTGTCGTTTTATTCAGTGTATACTTCACAGTATGAAGAAGTTGTTTATTTTCTTTTCTGCTGAACAATGCATGGAATTACAGTTGTTCTCATTCGATTTGACACGTCTCCAAACTCAGGTCACTGTTCTCAAAACAGTTAACACAGTGATCTGAATACTTTGTGATTGTCCTAAACAGATTTCATTCACTTTATACAAATTACAAATCATACAAATAATCTTCTCAAAACAATGTGCACAAAACTCTCAAACGTTTTCACAATAGTTAGTACAACCAACCAATACTTTAAAATATCTGAAAAAAATGTTTTACACAAATCACAAACATGTATGTACTATTTGTCCAAACACAACAAACAAAACTACAAATTACATTTGAAAATATATTCAAATAGAAAACAGTTATTTAAAATGATTCAAAACATTACAATTGTAAACAATATTACTGTTTTTACTTTGATTCTTTCAAAAACTTTTTCTCTTACATTCCCTAAACCTTTGAATGGTAGTGCAAGTTAACTACAGATGCCATTTCATGTTGTTTGCATATACACAAGTGTGACTTACTCTATCTCCTCTTTCTCCTCTGGCTCCAGGTTCACCGCGATCGCCGCTGTCCCCCTGTGGAGAGAGACGGGATTTCAGCATGGCTTTAAAACAAGATGTCATGACTTTGGACATGGCCACAAGCGGCCCCCGAAATGTGTCCAAAAGTGGCCAAATGTGTTCCTGTGAAAAATCTGACCTTAGAAACCATATATTTGACCATCAAACCAGCCAACCAAAAACTCAGTTTTCACTTGAAATGATCATCAGACATCACCACACAAAGAATCCCATACCATAAAGGCATATCAATTATGTAGAAAGGCTTGTGAGATCATAAAAAGAAAAAAAGAGGCCAACACTACAGTTAGTAGGCTATAGTTTTCTTCCGTTCAATACAATTAATCACACACTAATGCTAAACACCACTAAGGAACCCTAAAGAAATCTTTGCCATTATATCTTGCCTTTCAGATATCCCGTGCACTACAGGGAATCTCCTGGAATTCTGAGAGTTGAACAGTAAAAGAGAAAAGCTTTTGTGACCTGATTATAATAATGACTTCACACGCAGCAGCGGGCAGCTTGATAGCCTGTAATTACTCTCAAACTTCTTCACACTTTGATAAAGTCAACGGATAACTGACAAATGCCATCATGAGAAAGTAATACAACAAAATAACCACAATCTTGAGAGCTGCCAACCCAGACAGCATATTGTCGATGCATGATTTGTTTGATTTCAATTTGTTTCTAATGAAGTTATCTACTGATGCCAGTTTCCACCTCAGTGAAAAAAAGAGTAAAATGTCAGTACAACAATCAGTACAGTATATGCAACTGACTTAAATGAACAATTCATAGACATCATAGATAAGCTATTGCATTATGCACTGCAGCAAACATTGTGCAAAGATAGCGGACAGTGTTGAGATGTTGATTACTTAAAGAAGCATTAAAATAGTTCTGTCATGACAACTCTCGGAGGGATTAGCATGGTAATGTACATGATCATGTTAATGTATTTGGTCTTGGCGGAATAGATCTGCTACACTGCTGCAGCAGAGCAAGTACCGAGACTTGCTACTGCCAATACATCCACAACATACCGCTGTGAGCATGTTAGAAATATTGCTGCTGCAAATATAACATACATGAAATAACCCCCATATAGCATACATGAATCACCTCATAGCAGATTTATACAGGTGGAGCTGGGGAAGGTGGAGGTCATGCCAGAACTCTGTATTTTCAGTAAACACTGTATATTGTAACAATACTTTGCAAGATGTGGTAACATCTTTCTGCATGGGCAACATGGCTCAACATTTCAAAAGCACCTCAGCTTCAACACAAACATTTCAGTGTGAAAAGATTGACAAAACGACCACAAAACAGGGTTTAAGAGAGACGGACAGAGCAACACCTCAAACACAAACATGCGTTTGTGACATCATGCATTTTAACTAGCCAACTCCTCAATATGCTGCTAGCTAACTTTATACTGTAACATATGGATAATTTGTGAGAACATAGACATGCATTCACATATACAGAATGAACACACATATACATATACGCATGGACACTCATGCAAATCATATGACATGTACACCGAGAAATACACACACAAGCAATTGAAAATCATGCATAAGAAAAAACTAAAGTTCTCTGAGGGGTTGCTTACTTTCCCAGGTAAGGTTCCTCCTTGATTAAGTCTAGAGGATTTTTTGGCCTAATTTATTGTCTGGCATGTAAAAAAAAAAAAAAAAAAACTAATTTCTTAGTATTTTTGTCTTAAATCAAGATACAGTTACTTGAGAAGCAAAACGACTTAAGATATCAAGTACTGCTTCTGAAAAAATGGTGTGTGGTCACAAAAAATAATCATTTTCCGTTTTAATTTTTCTTAACCCACTAACAGAGATTATTTGCTTGTTTTAAGCATAAACTCACTTCAGTTCAATTTTTTTTTAGAAAATAAGACATAATACCTTAAGTTATTGTGCTTCAAGTAAACATATCTTATTGATAAGCAAATTTAAATTTTTGGGTGAACTATTCTTTTAATTGTGTGGACACAAGCTGACGATCTGTCTGTGTGCGGTTATTTCTGTATTTTGACAAAAACTTATATATTACGTGCTCTTCGCCATTAATTTTTCTTACATATATACTCTCATTCCGGCGTAATAATCAAGGAACTTTGCTGCCGTACCATGGGTGCAGTAGGCGCAATGATATTACGCAGCGCCTGAAAATAGGCTTATTGGAAGTTACCTACCTGGGGAATATTTTCAGGCGCTGCGTAATATCATTGAGCCTGCTGCACCCATGGTATGGCAGCAAAGTTCCTTGATTATTACGCCGGAATGAGAGTATAGTTCCTAGCCATATCGGCCTAGAAAATCGCAACTTTTCATTTTACGTCGGTCTTAGTACACGATGCAACTACAGAAGAGTCAAGTTTTAAATAGGAAAAATTAGAAACTGTTTGGTCATTTTTGAGCGAGATGCTAACGGTCTAATCAGATTCAATGATCTATGCTAAGCTACAGCTAAAAGTGCTACCGCCAGACCCGGAGATTGGCTGAATGGATTCGAAAACGGTCAAACTCAACTGTTTAACTCTAGGGGAGTTGGAAAATGAGCCTATTTTCAAAAATAGAAGAGTGTTCCTTTAACCTGCTCAAGCACAGCATTTGCTGTTTTTAGGTCAGCAAATTCCACTGACCAATCCAGCATGCAACATTTTTCTAGCTGTGGGCGTTATCTGGCATCTAAATTTGGCTGAATAGTGGCCGAGTGCAGTGGAAATCTCAAAATACGACTCCTTTCCAGAAGTCTTAACAGATTGTGAATCACCATATTCATCATACGAGTGAAATATTACAATAAGCACAAGTAAATGTTTAAATAATGACAGTTGTCATTCTATTCCCAACACCACAGTCATCTAATTCTCCTGTATGAATCTCTGACTGATAGAGGTTAATTATGATATTATTCTGAGGTAATTATGCCCTGGAGTCAGCGGAGGATGTCTGTTTTAAGCGCTGTGAGTGGGTGTTTGGTGCACAGCCTCTTGTTTTGCATATCCTGTGAGGTTGGAAGACCCATAATTCTGCATTTCAAAATAAGGTACTTTTATTGTTTTTATCCTCAAAAGAGTGGCAGTCTCCACAGTTTGTCTCTCTTTGTTCTTTTGTAATTCTAGACTTTGGATTCAAGGGAAGAACGATGTTTTTGATGAATTGGCTTCTGGCTCGCACGAAACGACAGAACTGTTTTGTCTATCTTGAGGAGTTTGGCTGTTAAATTCATGACCTTACCTTCTCTCCTCTATCACCTTTGATAGAGATAGCCTGCAAATAATCAATCAACACCGATCAATTACTCTCCAGGCCCAGAAAGACAGAAACAGCAGACACATTTCTAATATACAGCAATGTTGTTTTATGTTTATCTAAACAGAAGCAAAGCTATATGAATCTGTATAAGTGATAATATGGATGTCGTACACGCTCTCCTTTCTGCCCTTTGGGTCCTGGCGGTCCTTCTGCCCCTTTAAGACCAGGATCCCCCTGCAGATGCAGAGTTTTATGCAAAGAGCCAATGAGGAACCCACTGAAAATGCATCCAGAGATGTGCAAAAGCGTAATAAAGTCATTGTGCGATGCTGTGATACTGAAACGTTATTTGACCTTTTCACCCTTGGGCCCCGCGACACCTGGTAGACCTGTCTCTCCCTGTAGGATGGGAAAGATTGAGAGAGATTGCAGAAGAGAGAGATGAGGGGATTCATTTTGAAAGACAGAGGTCAGAAATAAGAGTGTGTAAAGAATCAATGCATTGCAAAACGAAACAGAATGCATTACAAAAGAAAGTTTAGATTAAAAAAATTTATATCCAGCCTTATAAATAAAAAAGTTCCAGGTTAAATAATAATTTAAAAAAAATATTCATCAAAAGCATCTGAGACATACTGTTCATTAACACAGAAAATAATTTTGACTCCGTAAAAGCAAACCAATATACTGAATGTCTACAATGTGCAAACATAATGTGCAGCCCATTTTATATGAATTATATACTCTTAAAATTTATATTTAATGATGGCTTACATTAATTCTGCACAAACTATGTTATTTAAGCTGCTGAAATAATAGGTTCTAATTCTATTATTTAGTAATTCCTTATTTTTTGTATTATTATCATTTTATTTTGGAAAATTTTACATAATAATTATACTTTTTTATTATCTTTATAAAATTGTATCACACTAGTCTAATGCTAACATGTTTATTTGTTGACGTTTGTGGCTATAACAGTGCATTTTATGTATTCCAGTGCAATGACTTCCATTCCACCATTCCATAGGTGCATTAGGGCTGTTAAAAAAAATTCGAATTTCGAATATTCGTCGAATTTAAAATTAATAAATGAATTAATAAATTCGTCAAATTTTAAGTGTGCGTTAAGGAGGCAGCCTTATCAGTGGCGCACGAGATGCGATGACGATGTAAGTGTCATTGCATTTTAATGTTTTTGTTAGCCTATCCAGTTGAAGCCAGTAGATGCGGCGCTGCTGCATTGTTAATTACAAATATTGCGGGAAAAGAGAACATCAATGCGGAGAAGATGTTGTTTACGTCAAAACTGAAACCAAGCCGTTCACACAGAACACATACTGTATTTTGTGCATTTTCTAGAGGGACATCTATCACCGTTGCACTCGCATCTCGCACAAAAGAGTTGCATATTTAGAAAGCCATGTAAAATTAATGCAAGTTCAACTTTGAAAAAACATATCTTGAGACTTTATGGCGGGGTTTTTTTCCCCATCCCACTGCAACTCGTGTTTTTGAATGAAAAATGTACTCTGTATGATTGGCTTTCCGCCCTTTGTAATAATACATGATGCTGTTTTGTTTATAGTTGTTTAAGTAACTTAATTAATTATAATTGGTTTATAAACATTATTTTAAACATTATGCACTTTTTTTCACAGACAGTCCTGTTATCTTAAGCTTTGAAGAAACGTGCATTAGTAATATTTTGCTCGATGCACCCTCTTGTGGCCTCAGAAGAGAATCCAAAAGCTTTTCTTCACCCTAACTGAAATTATGCATTTTAAATTTGAATATAATTCGAGTTTTGATCATATTTAAGTACAAAATTCGAATTTAGTTTTTCAGCCATTTTGACAGCCCTAAGGTGCATTACTGTACATTTTTGCTTGTATTACAAAGTGAGGGATGAGCTGAAATTATTTTCTGTGGTAATCAATAACATGATCACAGATGGTGCTAACAGAACCCAAAAAAGTATTTAATATTAACATGGCCTAAATGTCTCCAGCACATGACTTCACAGACACATGATATTTAGCTCATACACTGTAAATAACTTTGGTTCCTATATCATAAGGCTGATATTAAATTTTTTGCATGTTAAACATAGGGGTTCACCAACTTTAAGAGTGTGACCTTTGACCTGGAATGTCTTACCCTTTCCCCTGCAGGACAGGAGCAGTTGACCGCGGCTGGTTTCTTCTGCTCAGCGCTTGTTGGTTTTGGGGTGGGCAGTGGGAGTGGGGGGGGCTCAGTCACCAGAGACTGTTCACACTGAGTGAGAAGAGAAAGTGAACGCAGAAACCGAAAGAGACAGAATGTGTTATGAAAGAAAGAGAGAGGAAAGGAAGAGGAAGCAGCTTCAGATGTTCAGTATAATGAGTATTACTATATTCTGAACTCTGGACAACGAATAATCCCCAGCTTCATCAAGGACTCAAAACAAAGCTCTTTGAGCCCTTTGGAGAACTTGTCCTGTTCGAAACCGTATGTTTTTGCCTTACTATCCATGTGATGACATAATGAGGTGAGAATAAAGGTTTGTATGCGAGTCAGATGCACTTACTGGGCCACCAGGAATATCGCAACACGTCTCTTGCTCAGACTGTTTGCCATCACAGTAGATCACCATCCTCTGGAGGTCAAACTATAGAGGAAACACAGGCAGAAACACAGGAACTGGTTGTATTAGCTGATTTCGGTTAACTTAAAAATTCATAAACGCCTCACCATTAAAATATTTGGGGTTAGTCAGTATCTTTGATGTTTTTACCAAGCATATATTTTGAAAAATGATTCCAATTTAATTAAAATATAAGTGCTCTTACATAAATCTTGCCTATCCTACAGGTTCCTATTATTAATACTGAATCCAGTTAATATTTTTGTGGAAACCGTGATACATTTTGTTCAGGATTTTTTTTAATTAGAAAGTTCAAAAGAACAGCACTTATTTGAAATGTTAATTTAAAATATTATACATTTTAAAAAGTCCTTCCTGTAATTTTTGATCAATTGAATGCATCCTTGCTGAATAAAAAAAAAATCTTTCAAAAACATCCTACTGAAGCTAGTGTAACATCAAATCATAAATCACTTATTTAACCATATTTTTTTTTTTTTTAGAGATTACCATGATGGTATTCTCTGAAGTACCATGCAAATATTAAAATATATATGAAAATGATAATCAATCAGTACCTTAGTGTAGCATGGTATTATAATTTGATACAATCATGGCACAACAATTACAGCACTTTTAAGCAAGGGAGACTTAATCTTGTATAAAATGCATGTTAATAAACCATAAAAATAAAGGTGCTTCACGATGCCATAGAAGAACCTTTTTGTCTAAATGGTTCCATAAAGAACCTTTAACATCTGAAGAACCTTTCTGCTTCACAAAAGGTTCTTTGTGGCGAAAGAAGGTTCTTCAGATTATAAAAAGGAAAGAAAGAGATGGTTCTTTAAAGAACCTTTGACTGAATGGTTCTTTGTGGAACCAAAAATGGTTCTTCTATGGCATCGCTTGAAGAACCTTTTGAAGCACCTTTATTTTTAAGAGTGTATTTGCTTACATCAATGGGAACGCTGTCATAGAGTCTCTTGCCGATGACAGTCTTTCCCTGGATGTCGATGTCTTCTCTTTCCTCTATGGGCAGCGTCTCAATGTGCTTGCAGTCCAGGAACAGGGACACAGACTTGGAGTCCACCCTCATGCCGATCTTATGCCAGTCACGGTCAAACAGATTCTCCACCTCTGGGTTCTTAAACACGGCCCGGACCGCATCCTTTGTCAGGCCCACGGCGTTGTACTCCACCGCCTTGTTCTCCCCGTCCAGACGGATGGAGACCTGGAGGACATTCTCATTACAGCCTGATCAACTTACAGTAGCTTTATGATGTTTTATGTTATAAGCGAATTCAAAATCAAATCGATTTTAAAAATAGATCTTTTGAAGAGGATCTTCAGTTTCAGTTTCTCTATACAGCCCTGATGTTTCAGCCCCATTCAGGACACATTAATACACACCTGCGGGATGCCGTATTTGTCATAGACCTGCCACAGGTACCAGTCTTCTTTACGAGAGGTCTTCCTGAACTTAAATGTGGTCACAAAGGCATATTCATCAGGCAGACCCTGAGGTAACACATCTCTACAAAACAAGAATCAAAGAAATCTCTCATAAAAAATTAAAAGAAAAAGAAATGTGTATCACCTTGAACAGTATATTGTTGGAAAACAAACAATGTAAATTAAGTAAAAGTACATAGTGTGATTTTTGCATATATCATTGAAATAAATGATTCTCTTACTCTGTTTGTTGGACGATGGGCATTGTACCGAGCCTGACATAGGGGGTCTGACCTGGCTCAAATTTTTCTCCAAGAAAATCTCTTACATTGAAGTACTCCATCAAATCAAATCCTGGTGAAAAGGTAATACATTTGTAATAAATAAAGCTATTATTAAGTAAACTGTACTGTTCCCTGAATAAAATATGTCCCTGTAGATTATTGTTAAAATGTCTTTCCATCAACGATCACTAGGTGGAGTCCATGAGACAGGTCAAAAAGACAACATGCTGTAAATGAACTTTCTTAAATCGTTCCTCAACCAAAGGATTTACTTTTATACAAATTGATAATTAAGAATAAAATATCAGACAGCAATAAACCACAAAAGGCATATGTGCAATGACATAGGTTCAACTTGATTTAGCACATTTCATACATGGAAGTAATTAAAAAATCCAAAAACACAGATACAGACATCAAGTTAATATTATATCACAAGTTAAAATACAAATTAACACAAAATAATGTGTTAAATGAATAAAGCAATCATAAATTACTTATATAATACTATTATTATAATTTATATTATTATAATTTAGGGGACCTGTATCTAGATTATATACACTCTCAGAAAAAAAGGTACAAAAGCTGTCACTGGG